CACCACGGGTCCTTCCCTCGGTGCCGGCGGGTAAATGAGGGACCGGAGGGGAATGGCACGCGCTGGCGCAATCACACCACGGGAGTCTGGAGGCAGCCCATGGCAAATGTTTACTAGTACTTTGGAGGTACTACTTTTTTAACGTGCATTTTCAGCGGCAAACCACAGGTGCGCTCCACTTCCCAGATGTTGGGGTGTGATCGCGCCCAGATAATCTGCCCACCATCCGTGCCTCTCCCGCAGCAACTTTGCCGTGTGACCGGGGCCATATATTATTTTAATAGATGTTAGGCCTTGAATTCTCCTCCATGTGGCTTTCCATATAGCATGAATATGGATAGGACATCCTTCAGTTTGGCTTTTCTGAGGGGCAATACTAACAAATGAGTTCTGAATACTGAATCCATTGATTTTAATAGGTTTTGCTCCAGAAGTAAGACTCTCTAGGAGCATACTTAGTGAATAGCAAGTCTTTTGGACATTCTAAAACAAATGGATTCTAATGGCCTTTCTTTGTAATTCATTTTAATGTCTGTGAATTCCCAAATGCTTTCATTTCCTTAAAATTATTTGGCAGAGAATTCGACACTTTAATGATGGTCTGTGGGCCTGGCTGGGGCGATGGCATGTGTGCCCACAGAGAGGGCTCTGAGTGCCACCTCTGGCACCCATGCCATAGGTTCACCACCACTAGTATAGGAGAAAGCTGCATAAGTTCCAAGGGAATCTCATACCAATAAATAATGGAATGTCTGTGTCACTCAGCTTGGGATACAGTTAGCAAATAACCTTTAAAGTATGTCAAGAAATGGGAGACATCTCCAATTAACAAATATAAACCAGCACTGGGGGGGGGGAACCAAACCCGCCCCCAACAGCAATTAATTCATGGCTTAGCTGTTGTTTAATGAATTTGCTCTAATGCTGTTCTATAACTCTGGCAAGTGTGGTTGAGATAGAAGAAGCCAGCACTTTACCTTAAGCACTAGCCCAGTTGTATAAGGCAATTATTCTTATTTTTGAAATCACTTGTGCATTGTAAAGGACAAGAAGATTGAAATATGATTATAAATCAACCTCCCTGCATAGTTAATAGTCATCAGTTCAGAAAAATGTGCACTTAAATCTGTATCTGCTCAAACATGCATAAGCCTACATTTCTTGTTTTTTAGACATGCACAAGTACATTGAAAACCGCCTTTTTGTTTTTCATATAGCACACTAGCAATGGGAGAGCAGCTGAACAGCACTTTAAGTGGAATATGTGAGTTTGGCATGGAGTGTCGCTCATTGTCAACCATTGGATATTTGTTGTTGTTGTTCAGTCACATAGTCGAGTCCGACTCTTCGCGACCCCATGGACAAGATCTCGCCAGGCCCTCCTGTACCAAACAGCAAAGGAAGCAGAGAGGATGCTACAGCTCAGCCTTACCATGGTTATTCACTCGGGGCAATCTATGATTTACTTTTAGAAGAGTCTGTAGACCTACCATGCGTGACCCAAACCTGGCTGGAGACAGCTGAAAATGTCATCTCCTAATTAACCACAGCTGGATATGCAGTGCTTCATCAGCCTCAAACTGGGAGAGGTGGCAGTTACAGTCTCTGAGTCTTGCTCTTTCTGCAGATCCCTGTGACAAACAGTGGCTGATGCTGATGGTGTGTATCTTGTATTGGGTACCACAGGCAGGTTAGGGCTTCTGTTTATTTACCATCTGCCTAGCTTACCAGCTGATGTCCTGACTGAGCAAGTGCAGGTGGTCTCTGGTCTAATGCTGAAGACCCCTAGTTTGATTGTCTTGGGGGATTTTAACATCAGTGTATAAGCTTGTGGAGGTGGTCTGAATTGTGGTGTTGAGGACTCAGGCTGGTTATCTTGGGGGACTTCAACATCCGTGCCAAGGCTACCTTGTTGGGAGCGGCTCAGAATTTCATGGTCTCCACAACAACAATAGGCCTGTTTTAGGTAATCACCCACAGAAGATGACATCAACAAGAACAAGAAGTACGAACATCTCGAGTGGTTGTTCGTTTCGATGGAACTCTTTATCAACCAAAATTCCTAACAAAAAATAATAAATGAAATGTTATACACTTGAAAAAATAATAAATAATAATAACGGCTACATCCTATCCTAATAAAAAATAAAAATCATAATACATACGAATCTCTGGTTGTCTTATTATATTCAATAGTGATATCAATCTTATCCAATACAGCTTCAACAGCACACAGGCTAACAGGTCTTAATCCTGTAATACACAAAGCATTTCTTAAAGTTAAATCCATCAGGTTGCATAATCACAACTACCATTAACATACATGTATACCAAAGCTTACCAATACATGTATACCAAAGCTTACCAATACAGCTTCAACACAAGCTAACAAGTCTTACATTCGGACAACAAGTCTTAATGGTAACTAACCCACCTTTTCTTAAATAGATACAACAGTAGACCACGTGTTACAACTCCATCGGAAGCCAACTTATCAGTGCATGTGGTTTTAACACAAGAACAAAAGCAATTGAATAACTTTATCAAATCAAAGCACTATTGACAATACATCAAACCAAATGGTGATGTTACAAAATTGATTACAAAAAGCATGACAGGTCCAAGGTTGCATTGAGACCTACTGGTTGTACTGTATTTAACTTGAACGTCCAGAACGCTTCCCTTTGTAATAGTAATTTATGGATATCTATAATGTTATAAGGTTTAGAGCGTACCACTTCTAGAGCCACACATTTAAACTCATTATATCCATGGCCTGCTTCCATAAAGTGTTGTACCAGGGGTGCAGTTTGACATTGATGTTTTAATTTGGACCTGTGTTCGAGAACTCGTGTACGAAGAGCTCGTGAGGTTTGTCCTATGTATCTATAATTACAGCCACAGGTAATCATGTAAATGACACGCTTGGTTGCACAGGAGGAAAATTGGACTAAGTTTTTGCTGAAGTTAGTTTCTGGGAAATTGAGGACACCTGTCTCCTGCATGAATGAGCAGGCTGCACACTTGCCGCACTTAAAGTGCCCCTTCGGTAATGACTCAACTTGCTGGTTTTTTAAAATATCTGCTCTTATTAATTTGTCTCTAATACTCTGAGTCCCCCAGACCCTACTCTGAAGCTCTAACCACCACATCACACTGGCTTTCATAGGGTGGCTTGGCTTCTGTTGAACAATAGCAAGTAGCTAGGCCTAGTTGAATCATGCAGATGGGATGGAATTAAGTCACCGAGTGGTTGCTGCAGGTCTACGGTTGCCAGCATCCAGTTGGGACCTGGATATATCCCAGAATGAAAACTGAGCTTCAGACTTAGAGATTTGTCCCCCTGGAGAAAATGGCTACACCCCTGCAGTAGTTGCCGCTGACAGGCTCCCGGGCTCAGAAGCCATAGGAAAGGGAGCAGCCACTGGGCCCCTCAGTGTGTTCTCTGTGTGTGTGCAGACGTTTTAATTAATTTGGAGGGAAAGTAAATCCTCAGTGTATTTTTTAACACTTTAGATTTTTCTGCAAACTTAGGGGTCCTCCTAGTTTGTAGAAGAATATATTTTGCATAAGTGTGGCCCCGATCTGCTTATCTGCAGGTGGGGGCCACACTTGGGAAACAGTATATAGCTGATGATTAGAAGGATGTTGGGTTCAGTTGGGCCAGTTTTAGTAATACATGACATTTTTTTCCTTAGAGCTGGCATGTTCATCATGTTTTGCATACTTTAATCATTCTTATAACATCCCTGTTATGGACCTAGGATGAGGCCGAAAGCCTAAGGCAACTCCCTGAACTCATGGCAAAGGGTGAATTTAGGGGTGCCAACTCCTGCTTGGGAACTACCTGGAGATTTGGGGGTGGGGCCTGGGGAGGGTGGGGTTTGGAGGGGAAAGACATTATCAACAGAGTATAATTCTATAGAATCCAGGGGAACTGATCTCTGTCTAATGGTGATCAGTGGTAATCCCAGGAGATCTTCAGCTACCACTTGAAGGCTTTTGACTTTGTGGAGCCAGCTGGAACATTTCATAGACCTTAGTGTCAAGGGAAATAGTAGAGCTCCTCAGCTTGTGTGGTGGAGTACAACTGGGAACAGAGGATAAGTGCCTGTGCCCATCTTGCACTAGTCACCTCAACCCTTTCCTGGCCTAACAAAGGGTTGAAACGGAGATTTACCTGGAACATCCGTTGCCATGGTTAATACTATGTGGTTAACCTCATATATTATGGTTTAACTTCATATGT